GTTTCTGGGGGGCTCAGAGGCCAGAACCAGCCGGGCTCCCGCTCTGCAGGTCCGGCACCACTCAGCTGTGTTGGACCCGGGACTGAGGAGGTGCGATGGGGCAGTCCATGCCTGGCAGGCGCGGGACAGCCCCTGCCCTCGGATGGGAATTGGGTGCGGGTGGAGGGGCTTGTCGAGCCCGGGAGCAGGGGAGGACTAGCACGGCGTGACTGTCAGGGAGGCCAGGCTGAGCCGGAGTGCGGGCGCCGCACGGTTGTACCGACCAGCCCGGCCTTGGCTGGTGCCCTGAGAGGTGGCCGGGCGCTGCCAGGGCTCTGCGCCCTGCATGCCGCTCCCCGAGCAGGACTCCATGGCCGGCAGGCGCCGTCTCTCTGAGGTCACTGCCTGCTCCCGCATGATGTGGGGAGGACAGCTGGGCACTGGCCATCTGACTGACTCCGGCGTGACATCTGGGAGCCCACTGGTGTGTGGCACGCGAAGCGCTGGATGCCGCTATTTAAATGCAAATGTGAGGGGGCTCATTGAAGCCTCTCCCTGTAAATCCGCACAAAAGGAATACTTCCCACCCTCCGAGGAGGAGGCGGCGGGGCGGCGTGAGGGCCACCAGTGCAAATCACGTTGAGCCGGGCCTCCAGCCATAGTCGCCACGGCCTGGGGGTTCGCAGTGAAGGTCAGGCCCCACCCAGCGGGCCCCTGGGAGCGCTCTGGGAGCGGAGGCTGGACCAGCAGCCTCGGAGGACCTTCGAAACTTCCAGAGTGTCCGCCTGCCCTTCCCTTGGCTTCCCCTACCTGGGTACTTGGTGCCCCTTAGTTCCCTGGAGAGGGAGAGGGGACGGGGTAGGGCTCCCGCAGGCGGGGGCTGGGCTCAGGGGCGCTCCAGTCTCCCTCAAGACTTCCAGGAATTGACCTGCAGCCCCTCCCCCCGCTTTGGGGCCTGGGTGCTGGGTCCCTTGCACCTCTCCAAAGCTGCTCTCACCCTACCAAAGCGAAAATCCGGGGCCGGGTCAGGTGGGGGCCCAGGAGGCTGCCCTCCCAGGCTGCTCCACAGCAGGCCCGCGTGCAGACCCTGCCCAGGCGGCCAGTCCTTGTGCTCACAGCTCGGAGCCAGCAGTGGAGTGACAAAAAAGATAAAGTTGGTGAATGATAAAGACCGTATTTTCCACGCTTTGGGTGCGGGACCAGATGATCTAGAAAATGAGCTGAAATGGATTCAGCCTCTGAGCCTGTTGTGAGAGCAGCTGATTCCCCCATTTCGGGCCAGATGGCTGCTGAACACAGATTTGCATTCATTTTCGCTTAATATCGTCCAAAACAGTGGGGCAGCTGCATTTGTTGTCAAAAAGGTTTAAAACCCCTTTTCTTTCTGGGGCAGGATCGTTACCTTATGCGATGGGCTTATGGAACTTTTTTTTTTCCCCTCCCTCTTTAGTCAACAGTATCAGATTTAGAAGGATTTGTTTTTAAACCTTCTAATTTGGTAATCAGATTTAAATCGCCTTGGCGCGTGTAATCTGAATTAAAGATACTGTAAATGATTTTAAGCATGATACTTTTCGTTAGTGCAAGGAAGGGGGCACCTCCAGTCGGGGCCGGGCATTTTAGGAAGTGTGCGACAAAGGAAGTATTGTCTCCTGTTTCCAACTTCATCTGTCCCCAAAAAGGCATTTTGCAGAGCCTGACAATAACGCCGGCCTGGCCAGTCAGCCGCCTTGCGGGAGCCCCCAGCAGCTCAGCAGGCAGAGACAAAGCCACTTCTCAACCCCACCCTCCCCCGATGGCCAACTTTATGCCCTGTTGTCTCTCCGGGAAGACAGTGTTCCCTGCTACACCCGGGCTGCTGTGGGCGGAAAGCTCGGGGCTGATTAGGAATACAGAAATTTTCTTTTAATTTATCGTGAATAGTTTCCATACACTTTGATTTAAGGTTATTAACATTCTATAGACAGTGGCATCTTTAATATGTGGCGATCGCTTCTAAAGACTAATCTCATTACCCTCAAATAGTCATAAAATATGATTTTATTATACTTACGTATTTAATTAGACGACCGGCACCGTAATGGATTTTGAGATGGGACCGGCGCAACAGCTTTGATAATTCACTTATCTTTGGCAATAGTCATTAACCCCCAACACCAGCAAAATAGATTGCTTTCCAACACATCTTTTTTTTTTTCCCCTCACCCCTTCCAAGCGGCATGGGGGTCCCCAGACAATGTAAATCGGACTTCGATTTTCCCGATTAATTAAAATATTAATGTACACGCGTGGCCAATTCATAAAAAAGGGAGTGTTACTCCAGACCGGGGGAAGAGGCTGCCCCGCGACACCCTTGCGCCCTGGAACCTGTTTTGGTTTTGTTTGTTTTAATCAAAAGGGCCTGATTCCTCTTGGCAGGAAAGTGCCAGGGCAGCTCTTGGCGGTCCCCGGGGTCTGCAATCGGTGTCCCGCAGACGTCCTTGGGGCGGGCGGGGCGCCTGGGCTCCGAGTCCCTGCTGCTGGAGCCTGGCCGCCGGCTCCCCACTCCCCGCTACCCTCCCGATTCCTCGAAACCAGGTCGGGAAGACGCGCGCCGCGCGCTTACCCGGGCCGGCGGCACCGAGGACGGGACCCGAGCGCCCGCGGCGTCCACTGGGCTTTTAGAGAGGCCGGCGCCAGGGAGGTCTGCGCACCGCGCAGGGCGCGCCGCCGGACACCCGGCTCCAGGTCGCCCGAGAGCCCGGCGCGCTTCCTGCCAGCCCGAGCGCCCGGAGCCTTCTTTGTTACTCGCCGCGGCTAAGGACAGGCCGGGGGCCGGGGTCTCCCGTGGCCACCAGGAAAGAGAGAGCATCTGGCAGAGTCCGCCTCCGACGTGGGCCCCAGCCCCGCATTCGGCGGCCTCCCCGGCAGCAAACACGGGCGTCTGGCGAGGCCCAGACGGGGGCGGGCCGGCCCCCTCCAGCAGCCTCAGGTCTGCGTGGAAACCAGGCTGAGCTCGGCCCCGCCTAGGCTGGGCGCCCTGCTCCCCCCACTGCCGCCCCCAGCCCTTCGCTGGCCCCTCCAGCTCCCTCCCTGCGGCCTGCTCGCCTCTTCTCACTTTCCCCTTTTCGCTTTGGGCCGCCCCAGAGGGAGCCGCGGCCCCTTGCATTTATGGCATGCATTTGGACAACTCGGGGTGCCTGGCATGTCACCCCCTCCTTTCCACCGGTTCTGACTGTCTCTCTGAATCGGGGGAGGAGGAATTAAGGGGGGGGCCAAAGCTGCCATCGTGCACTGGTTGTTTTCATTTCAAAGATTTTATTTTGGGCCGAGTAAGGAAACTTTCCCCAGGCTGGCGGGTGGGCCCCGAGGAAGCCGCCGCCACGAAAACCCGGGGGCGGCACGCGACCCTTGGGTGGGCGCTTCGGGGGGCGGCGTGGGCTCCGCGGGGCTTCGCGGGAGGTCGGGGCCG